CTGAGTCAGTGAATGTATAAACATCTCAGTGCTGTCAGGGTCTCTAGACAGCTGCTCCAGCACCCAGGGCTGCATCAGGGTAGGTCCATGGGGCTTCTCCTGAGGGATGTCTTGCAGGAGGTGAGCCTTGCCAGCTGAAGCAGGGAACTGGCTAAGGCAGCTGCACCCTGGTCTGACCGTCAGAAAGCAAGAGACCCAATAACTAAAAAGGCTAGGCTCACTGAGCCATTTATCCCTCCACCCTTCAATTAACCCCACATGTGTTTATCAGCCTGGTTGGCACAATAAACTAACGACCTCAGTGTGACAGAAGGGAGAACAGCAAAACTCGTATGTTAATTATAGCATCCAAAAGTACAAATTTAAAGAGCAGCAAGACTAATTACAATGCCCTGATTCAGGGTATGCATTAGTACACTTGGAAAACAATAATTGACATGAGTTTCTGGGAAAGGAGGGGGGAAAGAACAGGTCATCCAGCAGTCAACCAAATGGAGTCTCTGTGGCTCGTCTGCCTCACCTTGTTGCCCAGCTATTAACTAAAGTTTGAATAATTTATCCAGCTGGGGGCACCTGAAGGAGCCGGGTTGCATAAAGGTTATTCGATGGGCTGTGATCCCATATGTCCACATGGAAACCACCAGCTCCTCCGCAGGAGAAAGACAGGGCTTTCTACACCTGTAAGCAGTGATGGTCTAGGAAATGTATAGGGGACGTCCTACTTTTGTCCTCCTGGGTCACTGTGAGTCAGCAATGGCTCAAAGCAGTGAATAATTGTGTTTTGAGAGGCACCTTGAAGGAAGCGGGGTATCTGGTGGAACCCAGTTCTTATATTCTTGACCACATGCCATCTCTTTGAGATGAAATTCATTCTATGTCAATTTCTGCATAGAAATTTTATAGAAATGTCTTAGGAATTCCAAGCTCTGTATAAACAGTATGAAATCAATATAGGAATAACTGCTTTTCAATTAAGTGAAATCTTCACAGAAGGAGCTTCTAAAAGTCCACGAGAAAACTCTACTTCTTTTAGTACAAATTCTTTTCCTTCAACTTTTAGCTTCTGGAAGCACGATTTCTCTCAGTTCTTTTGAGTCTACAGTTAGTTTCCAGGATTCTTCATTAGTTCTTAGTTTTCATAGTGCACTAGTAGCCAATGGAATTATAGATATTCATGCACCTGCATCTTATATCCTTAAAGTCTAAATTTCATTATGGTATCCAGGTATTTGTTAAATTATTTACAGGAAACTCATTTTATATTTTGGTGCACATTTCTGTAACATTCAACAGAACTTGAGTCATGAAAATAAAAAGTATGTGTAACAGCTTACTCATGACAAAAACTTATCCATGGGGCCCTTTGCTATTCCCACCTGCCTCCCCCCTTAATGGATGGCCATAGCTTCATAGAGTGATGTTTCCATCTTATTTTGTATTAGTTTTCCATTCCTGTTTGGCTATTCTAACATATATGGGATAGTATCCCACTCCCCAGTGCCTAGTGCCGTTGAACACTTTTTTCTGACCTTATTTACCATCCATGTATCTTCGTTGCTGAAGCTTGTCAAATATTT